GTTCCCAGATTAGTTGCACAAAGTGTTCACTCTTTGATTGGGATAATTTTTGAATTTCCGAGGTAAATCATTCCGTTTATTTCAACACCAAGCACAACCAGTAGGATATCAATGGGTTTATTTGTGTTTACGTTACGAATGTACAATGAATAAGAGACCGGAACCTCTGTTTACCCACAGTTGAATACCATACATGCAAATTGGCTTTATAATTGCGTTGTAAATGAGTACTTTGAAGTCCGATTCAAACCCAGAACTCTTATGCAAAAGCCAACTTAAGCTGGCTATTTTCAATTACATACATATGTTGTTTTTATTCTAGTAGTTATGTGATATGTTTCATGTCTGTTTGAATACCAAGGTTCGAGTCGAAAATTATGGAAAAATAATTTTTTTAATCACGATGGCCACTCGGCAGGGGACAGCAAGTTCACCGAGTGAATTTCTGGCATGAAAATCGACGCACCTCATAAAAATCTATCGGCAGTTCTGGGGCGGCTTAGTATTAAATGAAGATCCCATCAATTGTTTGTAAACATCATGATGCATATAGAAAATTCTGAAAATCGCATCAGCGGTTATTTGCACGACATGTTTGCGGGCGTAATTTTAACTCAATTCTCCAGCCATTTACCAGCCAAACTTTGGCGATAGTTTTTAATGCATTTCTAGGGACTTATCACTACATTATATGGCTAAGACATCCGCGAGAATGGCTGTTTGAACTTTTTGGTGAACTGGAGTGTGTGCAGTCTGAGGTATTTGTTCAAGAACGTTACTTTGAGGAGCACCAGCTTTAACTGGAAACTCCTCGGTGTTATGACTCAAATATATCGCAGTATTGGTAGTATGATCAACTTTGTCGAATGCTACTGATACATCAAGGAGTATTGCATACGAATACACCTTGAGCACGAAAGCCTTCCTTATTCTGGTAGTAAATCGGTTGCTCTACAGTACCATAATTTTTACCGAATTGGCGTTTCAGTATCCCTTCGTTACCATATAGAGAAGGACATATATTGGATGGCAGAATCCTTTGGGAAGACAGGGTAGTAGTAGGCCTTCTTCTCTAAAAGGATGGCTACATGTTGTCTATACATGGTTTAACTAACATAAATATCCTCGTCTTTTTCCCTGCTGTTGAGTAGTAACTTTGTTTAAGAATGGCATTTAAGAGTTTAAAAAGTAGCACTGTTGTACCTCTTGGCATCTCTTTATCCAATAGAAGAGTTTGCTTCTTCAACTTCTAGGTTTGATGTTTTAATCGATACCTCACTTTAAAGGCCAAACCTTGTATATTCCGGCAAAATTTGTAGTACGTCTAAGTTTTTGTTCGAAAATCAACAATTTTGGTGCAAATACTACTGTCACGAGTTTCATACCAAAATATTTTAAAGAAGAGTTTGATAATGACGCTGAGTCGTTCACAGCTATTTCGTTCACATTTCAAACATTTTCGCTGGTTGCAGCATAACAACTAAAACTATTTTTTTATTCGCTGGTAGTAATACTCACATCAACTTATGCGCTTCAAATCGAATTAGAACAGGAAAACAGAAACCCTCCAACGGTTGCCTGCGGACCGCTCTTTAAGTCCATATCAGGAGATTAATTTTAAAATGCTGCAGAGAAAGTTTTTTATGCAGATGTTGAAATAATGGAAATACGGTGCTCCTACCAAATATGTTATATTATTTAAAAATTCCTTTACATCAACTCACTTAAATAAAAACCCGTAGTCATAGCATATTTATAGAAATGATTAATGCTTTTTTTTTAATAAATAATTAATATCAATCTCTGCGTATATTTCCGTATACCTCTTAGCAATGACATTTTCGTACATAACTTAGCAGCCAAATCACCCAAACTCCACCTACTTACCGCCAGATATAACAAATTAAGTTCTAAGAATATTTCCAAACACCCATTTTATGGCATGTCATGATACAAACGTACATACCTATATACCCTATACATATTCATACTTCTGTATATAAGAGTATACGCGGATTAAGCTCACCCGCTACCTCACACATTTTGGCTAACCTTCTATTGTTCTTCAGAAAATTCACAAAGATTTGAGACGACGCAGCCGAGTGGTTGTGCTGTCGCTGATCGCATCAACGCCATAGTGCGTTACATTGAATTGCAAATTGACCGTAAGATTATTCACGTTATATGCCCCGCTTCTTTTCTGCTTCGATGCTCGGTACTGCTCACTACGTAGAAAGTCAGTGCGAATGACAAGAATTTATATTGAGCACAGAGTTTGTGTTTTAATTAAAATTACAAAGTGTTGCCAATAAAAGTAGTTGGAAACTTCGAATGCAGTGCATGTATTAAAATAATTAAGTGATTAAAGCGAGTTCGTAGAGAGAAGCTAATGCTGAGAGCATATACGAGTATGTATGTACGTGATTAGTGTGGGAGCTCAAATAAGGTTAGGGCGTTCTCAAATGTTTGGAATATTGTATTCTCAAACTTCGTATTGTAGTGACTTTGTTGTGGATGTGCCGTGATACTTCAAGCGCTACTGTGAGTGCTGTTCATTCAATAAACTACTAGCTGTACCCTGCAACGCTTCGCTATCGGATATAACCTTTGAATGTACGAAAAATTAATAATGTGATGTTTTTTCTCTATACCTGGAGGAATACCAAATTAGACGTTTGTCATAGAGGAATAGTCCGGCTCTTTGAATAGGCCAGTCCCTGGTCTGCTTCCCAGTGAGAAGTATAGTCTTCCTGTTAATCTAAGCAAAAATACCCCTACTTACCGAATTTCGAGTAAATCGAACCATAAATAAAGTTTTTTCGAATATTGTCAGTCCAAAGTCCTTTTTCCGAAATTTTTTTCTTAAAAAACCTTCTCAGGAATCATAAATATAATCGGACTAAATTTCAGGTCATTCGATCGGTAATTTTCGTAGAACATCCGTTCCGAGGGAACATAAGAGGCTTTTTCGAATAGGTCAGTCTCCGGTTCTCTTCCAAAATTTTTTACTTCTATAAACTATTACGGGGATCTCACGAAATTTTAGGTCGATCGGTTAGAAAGTTTTTGAAGATAGATTTTTCCAAGTTTGTATATGTAAAATTGAAAAAAGACAGTTATTTTCAAACTGGAGATGTCTTCATAGGTAAGCCACAAATAAAATAAGGCTAACCCTTTCTTAGAACATTAACAAAAATGGTTTACTAACACTACATGAGAGCAACACATAATATGTAATAGAATCTCAATTCTTGCGCGACAAACAACCCGCTTTGTTGCAAGCCTTTAAGCTATTGTAAGCACCAAATAATTTTCGATTATTATTATTTATATTATTATTATTAAATGAAGTTTAATCTTTACGGACACAAAAATAAGTTTATTGTGTGTCGTACTTTCCCTCAAGATATTTTTATAATATATACAAGAAAGTCCGTGTTAAACCGAAAATTTCAAGCTCGGCTGATATTTATATTACACCAGTTGACGTAAAAGCATAAAGTTGAGGTTTAATGATGGCAGGCTTGCTAGTGAAAACTTGTTGTTATTTTTAGACAGATTTTCGAAAATCACTATGGCTAAAATTCTTAAATTATCATTCAATAAATCGGTCAAAAGAAAAAGGCCGGTCATATAAAAGTTGCGTATATTTCTGGTATGACTCCAGACAAGTCCCTATTAAAATTTCGTTGAGTTCTATTGACCAAAGCTTTAAAAATACGATATAGAGTCATACAGAGTGTGGTGAGTATAAAGTTCCTTGTCTATTGTATACGAGTATATATAAAAGGCTTTGCCTTAATGACTGCCAGATCAACCCAAATGTTAAACCATTGAACCAAAAGCATGAAGTGTGTTGTTTGCGTATGAAACAAGTAGATTAAGTAGATCTGGGACCGATGTATTCAAAACATTTTCATTTAACTTTAGGTTTCCAAAAAATGTTGTAGGGAGGACTAAATTAATGTGGGGAAGACTTTTTCTTCTGTCGCAAAGACTTTTTCTTCAGGGAAAGGCCGGTGATAAATTTGATGGTTTGATTTTTCTCAATGTATTAAACATTTGTTTTGGGGGGTTTGTCAAGGTTAATTTGTAGGGTTCGGTATTCGGTAAAGTCCTATTTATAATAAGAGTTGCTTAATATCTGTAGCATATATAGCTCTTTGCCTAGATTAGTAGTGGACATGGGAGCGATCTATTAAAAAAAATTGTATTCATGGCTGCTTTAAATAACAAATTTTATTGAATCCGGCCTTTTGCAATAGCTTACGTACCAGAGAGCCAATGCGTGAACCAAGTTACGTCGTATCCCAAATCTATCACGAGTGGACGGATTAATATGGATCGATTGTTATTACAAAAAAAACTTTTTAATTTGATTAGTAAATGGACACCCGCGGCCTACTGCTACTGTCCAATACCCAATGTTTTTCCAACAAATGGAGGGACTTACAGTTTATACTAAGCCGCCTCCGAACGGCTGATGGTTTTTTATGAGGAGTCCTTATATCATATCCGAAACACTCTCTTTTACTTTTCAATGTTGCTGATACCGGAATATTAACCCGGGCCTTCCGAATTCGACTACTGAACAAAAAACATTTATAATTTCAGCTTTCCGAGAATCAAAAAAAACCTATTAGAAAGGGATTTTTTATAAAAAAAAAATTCAAAGATCTTTTAGGTGAACCAGAAGCATAAAAATGCCATGGGTAGTCTTTTTTGACACTTTAGGTTTGTTGGAAATGGCCTATTCGTGCATATTCACACAAAGGTCACATACATAATTTCCTAGTTGCTAAATAAAAGTGAAACGCGCACGGTATCGTTTTCTATTCAAAGAGAACTTTTCTAGGCTAATTGGATATTTTTCCACACATTTACTCATATACACATCTACACATCCACTCAGAAAATTGGAGTTTGGAAAGTGTGCATCATTTTTGGCAGCTAGAAAACCGTCAACCGCAACATAGCTGTTGTTTAATTAATTAACTTACCGCTTTTGTCGCAAACAAGATAACATTTCCTCATTGTCATCATTCAGTGGGCAATCGAGCGTATGAGCTATTTGCATTGTGAGCTGAAGCGAATGATTACTGACCGCCCAATCTGACATGGCTGAGCCCGACATGAGTATGGCGCGATGGAAAAGCCCTTTTTTGAGTGTTTCAACAGGCGAACGACAAAGACAGTTATCAGCGCGACGTCACCATTTAATGCCATGTGATAAGGTCAATAGTTTTGTATATGCAAAATAGAATGGATTAAATTAGTTTATATAAAAGTAAATGATAATTGCCTACCGGATGCAACAGGCGATATCATTAAATAATTTACACATGCTGCGCCTGTGCTGTGTCCCATAAGTGTCACGCTATCCTTATCGCCACCAAACGACGCTATATTCTCCTTAATCCAATGTAAAGCGGCAATTTGATCGAGTAGGCCGAAATTCGCAACTGTATTCTCATCAATGCTGGGCTTCAGAAAACCTTGTAAACATCAATCAAAATGAAAAGTTAGAAAAATTAGATAAGAGAGTATTTCTAAAGATATTTTTAATAAAATAAAGTACTTTAACTCTGCTTAATCATGGCGTGAGTACAGTGTTTTCACTACAAGGTGTAATTTTAATCGATTTTAATAAATAGAATTTCTCATAGATGAATTTGAAAATTCGAAAAAATCAGAAACAGCCCAGGTATGTATATAAAACTCTAATTCAAATCCAAACTTTTCAAAAATTTATATGCAGTGCAAATGTATGTATTTCTAAAATAAAATAAAGTTATTACAATAAAAAAATCAATTTATTTCAAATAATAATAATAAAATCAATTAATTGGAAATAAAAAATATTTCCGCACAAATAAAATTAAATAAAATTAAATACGTATAAAAATAAAAATTTAAAAAAATAATATAAAATTAAGTAAAATTAATAAAATCAAAATATATTAAACAAATCACAATAAAATAACGCGAAAAGGAAAATAAATTAAGAATATAGCCATTTATTTAATTTTCTACGAATTGATTAATTTTAATTCCGACCAGAATGATAAGCTCACAGAAAAATAATATTTCTTTTCAGATGTACTCAAGCGACTAAATCAACGTTTTTTTGAGACGCTCATTCAATGCCACGAAATAACAAAATTCACAAAAACAAAAATATATATATTTTTTCACATTGTGACATGCTATTAATAATGTTTATATTACAAAATGAAACTGATTGAATTGTATTATTTCCAAAAAATCATTAAAAACAACGCAAGTTAGCTGCAAGGCTGCACCTCAGCAAATTTCGTTTTAATCAAAAAAGGTCTATCCATTTTTTTGAAAAAATTGGAAAAGTTATCGAAATAAAATTTATATGGTTTTAAGCCGAAACGAAATGCCGTAATCAATGTTAAGCCGTTAACAGATAATGTTAAAATTAAAGTCTGCTGTTAAATCATAGCAAAGTGCTGAACAAAAAAAAAAAACAGCCGAAAATATGCTTTAATTCTCTTTATGTATTTTGGTATACAATACCCGCTGGATATTCACAACTTTATATATGTTATATCTCACCACTTGTAACATAAAATATGTTTCATTTATTGACATACTTACACTTGCACTTTTACATGTCTATTCCTGTATGTATGTGTAAGCATTTCATTTCACTTATTTATACCATTAATTTACATGAAGTATAAAACATACAAACGCACATAGGTACTAACGTGAATATATAAATATGTATATAAATAGGAAATGTTCACTTACCCATCACACCAAGTCGATAATTGATGGTAACAACAATGACTTGTCCATAGCTAGCGAGCACCGAACCATCATATGGATTACCACTATTCCACTCAAAAGATTCACCATGCACGTACACCATTACGGGTAAACGCTTTGTGGGTATGTCCATATCGTAAACGGAGGATGAATCGTATACTGCACCATCTGCGGCCGATACAAGTAAAAGTTGTCTGGCATTAAATTTGTCATTGTTAAATGGATTGGTAGCGAATGATGTGCGAAAAAAGGTGTCAATTTACTGTCACACCTCTCCACGTAGGCGGACGCACAAGCAGACGTACAGCAATGCGCTCGGACGTGCCAAGAGGTTAAGGTTATATAAAGCAAGTAGATATTCATAGAATTACACAATTATAGTGTTACGACACTATATATGTGTATGTATGTATAGAAGTATATGTATGCGTATTTAACTTACCTCCACGCGGCACATATACATTCAGATATAAGCAATCTTCGCTCTCCGTCTTCAGGTAGGGCAAGAGGCGTGTCAATTGCTTGTAACGACCGCGTGACATTTTCACACTTCCCTGCGCCGTCATATCGGGTAACTGTTGTGGGCAAACGGGTGGTAAATGACGTGCAATTTTCAATCCTTGCCAAGGTAATGGCGCACCTTTATACATACATTCATGCACGCAGATAAATTAAGAAGAAGATAAGAAAAATAAAATTTTAGCGAATGTCAGAAAGTGTTGCGATAGTGCGTGAAGAGAAATAAGGTGTGAAATAATATAAAAGGCAAAGAATACAAATAAGAGATGAGTGAGAAAATGCTCATTTTATAAGGATAGTAACGATTTAATTAACAAAATGAGCGTAAGATTAATTTGGTCAAAGGGCATTTATTTATATGTAAACTTTGATACAGAGAGAGTAAAAATTAGGTTTGGTAAATAAATTATTAGACCTGCCTCTTTTAACGGTTGTTGAGTAAACCAAAATTAAATACATATATAAACGAGTTTTAAGTAAATTCTGAGCGATTTATTTAAAAACTCTTTTTTAGTTCACTAACTTATCAGTTTTTGCTTCTCAATATAGTTTTCATCTCTAAAATTCACATTACTGAATATTCTTTTACTTTTGTACTATTCAAATCTATCATTTTATGGAAACTGGAGGTTATATTGGATTAAGTTTTTCATTTGATCGCCGAGCGTGTGCCCAATTTTAATTTTACCATCACAAGTCCTTATAGGTTCATCTATACTCTCAAAGAATTTTTGCTTCTGGGGAAAACAAAATATGAGAGTTTATAAAAAGAATAAATTAAAAAAAAAAAACAAATCCTTAGATCAGTCATGGGCATTTTTTGGGAACATTTTTTTAGAATTTTTTTTTGGAAACATTTTTTTGTGAAAATTTCTTTGAGAAACTTTTTTTAGCAAGAAGTTTTTGACTCACACTGAGCTTCTGAAGGTGCCATTTTTTGTTAAAAATTAGCTTAATTCGTTAACTTTATCTCTATCAGCGGCCACAAAACCATTGAAACCAAAAAAACTTTGTCCGTATGAAAAGTCGTCTGTTCCCGTTAATTCAACAAAAAATATTAATAAACCAAAAGAACATACCAAGTTCAGTAAAAATTTCTGAAAAACCAAGTTACAATAAAGGGAAGGTAGTTTCACTAAAGATAAAATTGACAGAATAAGATTTTTAGATATTATATCTTAGTTTCATTTCAACACCTACACATCTATAATACACATCATAATGCTAAGCCAACTGCAAATTTGTATGTTTTATTTTTCAACATATTTTTGTTTACTCTGAAAGATATCTCTTTTTTTAGTATTAAAAAGGATGGTTAATATTCCCTACCGATCTGAAGGTAAACCCAATTCCTTTTTTTATGCGGCTTTCTTAAGTGTGCAACGTGTCTATTGAAGAAAAGGCAGACAATAAACTTATGCAGTCCTTGATGAAAACTTTATCGATTTCTCGATTGGCTGATGAACAAACAAACTTTACGCCACACTACAATAAAGCAATATAAAGGGTGATTTTTTGGCTATTATCTTCTTGGCAACATTGGTTTAAACAGCTGACGCACTTTTGTCACTGTTTTATCACTGTCAAATATTTTCAGTTTGGTCCATGCATCCAGAAAAAGTCACAGTTAGTTTTTGGGCTACCGTGAGATGATATAAAACTTTTTTTTTTGCCCAAAATGCAAGAGCTTGACTTGCTTCACATATGGTTTCAACAAGACGGTGCCACATGCCACTTAGCACGCGTAACAATGGACTTATTGAGAGATGAGTTCGGTAAACGTTTTATTTCACGTCCAGGATCGGTAAATTGGCCGGTTAGATCGTGCGATTTAATGCCTTTAGACTATTTTTTGCGGTGCTATGTTAAATTTAATGTCTATACAGACCACCTCGCTTCAATTCACGCAACATTGAAGCATTTATTGGTGAGATACCGGCCGAAATGTGTGAAAAAATGCGCCAACATTGGACTAAGCGGATGGAGTATATGAGGCGCAGTAGCGGTCAATATTTACATGAAAGATTCTGCAAACATTTATTAATATGGACCATAATATCGAACGAAATAAATACTTCATGCATTTTTCTGAATTTGATGTGTTTTTTTTTGAAATACTTTTCTATTGCTCTTCAAGAATCACCCTTTCCAAAAAATATGCTATTATCGTTCATATGTACATACGTCCAAATAGGAATTTACACATCATAACTTACTTCAAACGTGTGGAATTTCATTTATTTTTATTTATTTGAAATTAATAAATACTTTTCCTCAAATATCCTGCGAATTTTCAATTTTGGAAGTGAGAAGCAATCGAAATTCGCTTGAATTATTTGACACACAAAATATATAGGTTTATACTTCTGGTGGAGAATTCTTTTCGTATTTGTTATCATGAATATATGTATGTATGAATGTGTAATTATTTTTAATACCAACGCCATGACACCATAGCGATGGAAAATAAGTAACCATAAATGCCACAAATATCCTGTACGAATTTGGTTGCAAAAATTCAGGTTGACAAACTGATGATGGTTGTGTGAGGAATTAATGTGCGGGTAACGTTCAAGTGTTGTGTAAAACCTCTGGGAACATATTTATGCATATTATTAGGGTGGGTTTTAAAAGTCAAAAGGTGGTCATTATTTTGACATACAGTAGATTCGAAGAAAAAATATTATAATTAATATTAAGAAGGCTTTTGCTACGGTGTGCAATGCGCAGGAATTTAACATTTGCTACCGGCTCCCGCGATAATATATTCGCCAAGTGACTAACTACTTATCATAATATGGTAAAGAAACATCTGTTCCATCGTTATCGATTAGTGAGTCAATTTCGCTATCTCTTTCAGGTTTCCTTATCATTGTCATTCTGCTGGCTGGAGTACTATTACTGAGTCGATGAAGGACCTCTATGAGTCTTATATGAGTACGGCTTGGTCTGGAATATGCTTTTTTTATAGAATTTCTAAGCATTAACATTTTTGGCAAGCTGTTTAAGTGCTTTTACTAACATCTCGCTTCTCTTTTAAGGTCTCCTCATATTATTTATTGAAAACTTCTTTCTGAATATGAATTTTAATAAAATGAAATTATTTAAAAAGTGTTTCACTTTGAAAAAGTTAAATGCCTTTGGAGAAAATCAAGATGATTTTTTTTAAATCCGTGTACTCAATTAGGTGTTCGTCTAAAAATAACAAAATTAAGCTTCTTACAACCACTCCAATGTACGTATGTAAGTATATTGATTTTATATCTCTTCAACCATACATACATAAGTACGTATGTTTAATTTCAAAAGCATCTGTTTGTTTGCACGTATTTTCCAAATTGTTGCACACGCAGTCGATGACTACTGCTTTTACAATTTTTTTTGTTTAGATTTTCTCCCACAAAACGTGTGCATAACTGTTATATTTTCTTCTCTTTTATTTATATTTGCTTTAGTGTCTGGAGCCATGTTTGCCCACATGCCTGGCTTACACATACAAATATTTATTATTATTTATTAAGCCCCTACAGTCTTTTAATATTTTTATTGCAGCTCATACGTGGGTATTTAGCTTCAGAATTTCAAGTTGTGACACTTTTATAAGGGAAATTTCAAGAATTTAACAACGGTATATAAATGAATGCCTTTAATATGAATAAATAATAATAATTATTTATAAAACTCTTGCACAATTGTATAATCGAGTACTTTAAAACTATGATATGTATTTTTATAAAAATTACGCTAGGATGACAATAAAAAGTCATTCATTTCACGACGATAATAGTTTTAGTAATTTAATTGCTTCATTTATTTCTTTTACATACATTCCTATTTTTTCTTGATAACAATAACAAAAATAAGCCCAACTTACTCGACATGGGGTGCGCTATCCGCATAGCGACATATTTTGCAGATTGTTTCACTTAACACGTAACTCGTTTCACATGACTTCAACAGTGAAAGCCTATAATGCCTGGATACATAAGTTGAAGCATTGAATTTTACCTCCGCCAAGAACTACAATTTCAATTCTGGCCACGAACCAATATATCTTACAGACAACAGAGAAGACGAAAACAATTTTCATTTAATTTTACGTTCGAAAAAAGCTCTAATATAAATATGTTAAAATGCTTGATTTGTCCTTTGGTATCTAATAATGTGAGACATCCATAGCCACAAGGCAAACAAACCACACAAAGGTTCATGTAAAGTATGACTTCACGAATTGTGCCGCGGTAATGAACGCCTGCCGATGGAAGCGACTAAAATTTAAAAGCTTTAACAACAGTGAGGTCTTCATACCAGGACGACTGTGATTTTTATTCGGACAGCTAAATTCCTCAAAAACTTTATGTCTCTTTAAGTTTATTTGCATACTAATATGCAACAAAATTTTATATATATCCGAAACTTTGAAAAGGTTTAAAAAACAGCAGGAAACTTGTGTCACCCCAACGGATGCCAGCTGCAATAAGATGTGGTTGCATGATCTCCTATCAATACTCTTATTGCTAGTCTACTATTATACAAACATGCACACTCTTATGTATGCAGGCATACATATTTGAATTTAACTGTGATTTCCATTTACGCTCACTATGTAAATATGCAGAACGTTCTGCAACTAGTAGAACAATTGAGATAAAGTCAACTCAATGACTGTGACGACTGTTGCTCTACTGCTAATTATAAACACACAACCAACGAATTTAATTGAGTGGTCAGTGCTATTACTAGACCCCCATTAAAGCAGGCCACCTATTGGTATAGGCCACAAATCGATAGTATCATCATTTAAGGATTACTCTTAATGGTGTCCAACAGACGATTAATCGCACAAATATACACGTATATATGAATGTAATTATTTGCACTTATGCTAAGCGTAACCGTTAGTAAATCGATTAGATTTGATGAAATTTATTCTAGTGACTTAATTTAAGTTCATTAGCTTAAATACAGGGACATTTAATAGCATTAAACAAAAGTGTATGGTTGATGGTTATACACGGCGTATGAGTAATTTAAAGTTTTTGCGAAATTAAGTTGAAAAGAACTTTTTGACTGTGAAGGTAGTCAAGGAATTCGACTAAACATATAAGTAGATTGAAACTT